AAGCTAGTCTCATCTTTACCCGAGCACTCTTCTCGAGTGTCGTCCTATCCCTGCTTCGGTATGAAGTGGCTACCAGCATCCGACTCTCTTGTAGTTGCCCCTGCGAAGATCCTGGCCTCCAAAGTCTGTTCTGTCTCGGATTTACGCCGCCTTGGCGGGGTTTTGTTCGACCCACTCGGCCTTTTCTTGGAGTACAACATGCTACTACGGCTCCTCATACGGCGCGCTCGCGTTAATGCTGACTCGTCGGGAGCCATCCAAGATGACGATCGCTGTGCTTTGAGAAAGTGGGAACAGACCGTTCGTGAGAACGCCCTGCGAGCTCCTCGCCTCATCCGGTCTTGTTCTGAGGGTTATCGCGACTTATTGTTCCTCTTCGTTGATAGCTCCGACCTCGCAGGAGCCGCGGTCCTCACCTCAGCCTTTGGCAACAGGATAGCTGCTCGCGGCTACCTGCACCAATCCTCTAGTGTCCGGCGATCTGCGCCTAAGTTTGAGCTCGATTCTTTGGCTGTATCTCTGGTATGGGCGGCTCAGTGGCTTGCAGAGGGTTTGGATCACAGTCCGGTTACCTCTTTGGTGGTCTTCACCGATAATTCCGCAAATGTAGGTCGTCTGCGACGTCAGACTCCACTGGCGGCTTCTTCTTCGGTAAATTTGGTGGTCATTCGCAGGCTGCTCATTATCAAAAACTGCTTATACCATCTGGAGAAGGCGGGTATCTCGACTATGGTTGCCCACATTTCTGGTTCATGGAACATCGCGGATGCTGCATCCCGTGGTAAAGTCCACTCCGATATTTCTGAGGAGCTATTCCCATTACTTCGTCAATTCTACGACGATGCCTCTGCTCTTACTCCTACTCAGCTATCTCTCATTCCTTCAGTCTTTCGCCTACCCGCCGATTACTCCCTCTCTCAGCCCCCTACATCAGTCACTAAAAATATCTCCGCGACGCCTATTGACAGCGCGGTCTCCTACCCTACCTGTCTAACAACGGTCGAAGCCTCTATCTCGCATGGTCAAACGGTGTGTCGCGTCGATCCCACTTCCTTCAGTGAGTCAGTCATGGTACCTACTACCCTTTACGGCTACCGGCTCCTCGTAGCCGCTCTGAAAGGGTGGCAATCGCTAAGCCTAAACCTTGCCGGCCGGGAGATACCGAGCGGCGACGATGAGACCCCTACTCCCCTGCGATTAACTGTCCGGGATGCTCAACGGCATTACGGCGTATCAAAGTTACTTCGTCATCCATTCTCCACCATGGATTCCGCGGATACGGTCATTTATCGCTGCCGCCAAGACGTGGATGGTCATGTTTACGACCAAGCTGTGGTTCCTCCGACTATGGCCCTGCTGCAGTCCACCGTGGCCAAGTCGTTCCACAACGAAGCTCATGGTGGTGTTAATGCTACGTATCGCGACTTAGTTCGCCGTTACCACTGGCCCGGTATGCGAGCCCAAGTCAGTCGCATGGTCAAATCCTGTGGTGTCTGCATCAAGAATAAACCGCGGGCCCATGCTCTTCAAGCCTCTGGTATCATTCCCGCTGAGCGTAAACCATGGCGGTCTGTCGGTATCGACCATTGTGGCCCTTACGAAGGTAACGGCGACCGCTCGAAGTTCTTGGTGGTCGCTACATGCCTGCTAACTGGTTATATTGAGGCCGAAGTGGTCGGCTCAACCAACGCCATTAATCTCATCACTGCCTGCCGTCGTATCTTCGCTCGAGCTGGTGTTCCGAGGCGGGTCTGCTCCGATCGAGGTCCGGCCTTCGTGAGCTCTCCTTTCCGACTATTCCTGTCTAAACGTAACGTGCTACACCACTTGATCCCGGCGTCAAGTCCACAGTATGGAGGGAAATGGGAGAGGAGCCACGGCCCGCTTAACCAGAAGATCCGAGTGCTCCTGGCTACGCAGGTCAAACGTGACTGGCGCACTCTGGTGTCGGAAGCAGTATCTTTGTCCAATGCGCGCCTGCGTTGGGATTCTATCAGTTCTTGGGACCTGCTACACTCGTACGACTTCGATCAGACTAAGCCCTCTTCTTGCCATGCTTCTAACCTGCTCGAGTCTTGGATCGAGAGACATTGGGAGGACGACCGTGAGAAATCGCGTCGTAGGCTGGGGGATCGAAGTAGTACCATCGGCATCGGCGACCGAGTATACCTGAGTACCCCATCGCCTGGGAAGCTCGATGCGTTAGCTCGCGGCCCATATGTTGTCGGCAGGATATCAGGCGACGTTTATACCCTGCGTGAGTCCTCTACCGGTAAGGTGATCTGTCAGCCACTACGAAACCTTATCCCTACTACGTGCATCGCCCCGTAAGACGAGACGTACTTTGTTCTACTTTTCCGACCTGTGAGTCCCTTTCGTTCCCTTTTTTTACTCGGCATACCGGCCGGGAGAATGTGCCGTCCTAATTACGGCACTGGACACTCCATTATGTCACGGGCACTCGCACATTCGACGTGACTCTTAGCTCGCCCTTGAGACGAGACGCGAATGGTAGTAAGCCCCGTCTCCTTTGCTACCCATTATTCTTTTTACTGTTGTCCCTCTCGGATTGATCCTCCGATTGCGTCGACTATCGAGTTATTAAGTCATCACAGTCGATGTGCATATGATTAACGAGTTTGCGTTATCGTGTATTTCCATTCGTCTCCGGAGTTCTCCCGTTGCGTCGTGCTCCTCATTCGTAGGTTGACAGTCACTTAAAAATACACAGCGCATGCTTACACCGGCCTTACTGCCGGTCCTCTGATGTCTAATCTCGGCCGCGTATCCTATCAGTGTTTCGTTCATAGTTGCAGCGTTATGAATACTTCATTCGTAGCTCTCACCAGCGAACTGGGAACGCCTCGGACAACCTCCGTAGTTGTTTCTCTCACATGCTATGTGTACTGCCCTTTTTCCACAAAGGAAGACACTGGCGAGATATGCTCTCCCTGCGACGAAACTGCCAAGCCTTTCCAGGCCCCGTTGTCTGTGCGAACAGAACTCGAATCGTTTCACATTCTCCCTAGTTCGACTTTCCTCGAGCAAATCTCAAGAGTTAAGTATATCAGATTCACTTAAATGGTTCAGGCCGCCTCGCGTTTATCCCTCCTGAGCGAGAAAATCAATCATTTGGTCGCCAAGCCCGAGTCATTCGGTTCAGGGTCTGATCAGGGAATCACGAACTGCTCCAAACCCCGGAGGGATGGCGAGCTCAACTCTGGGTGAAAATGCAGTATAGATGATCTTTGTCATTCACTGCTGACTTTCGTCCGGATGTCGATGTGAATCCGGGCATCGTTAGCGATATGGAGTTTAGCCGTTCATACTATGTAGAAGATATGGGCAGTATATATTCACATATCGTTGAATGAGATATGGCAGTTTCCAAGGAGGCCTACTGAATCGGATCGATTGTTTCCGAGCCCATGCAAGGCTTTGGTATTCTGTATTGTTGTTCTCCCGTTGTGTTGAGTTTTTGTGGTAGCTGCGTATGATCTACTACGCTCCTCTCGAGATTGCAGCTTAACTTTATCTCACTAACTTATGAATACACCTCCTGTTAATACACCTGGTCCTCTGTTCGGCCTGGCTATCCCCGGAAGACCTCTCATTACTGAGTTTGTTCAAGACACTGAAACGAGGTAGTCTCAAGACTTCTCATATCCTGGCTCCATGGTCGTGGTGTTTCAGCTGGCATGTAGATGTGCCCAACCCTGGTAGTATATCATCCTTCTCGGTATTCCTTCTCCGACCTATACCCTCTGATGCTGTAGGTTTGGGAGTCTACTATACTGCAACCACAGGTATGCAATGGGCCTCTCTCCAGGAAGCATCTCATGAGTTTGTTCTTTGCAGATGGTGCTGCTTTCGTTGGTGCCTTGTCAAACGCAAAGCCTACCGATATCTTCTCGCCAGGCTGGCCGCTGAACCCTGATATCGCTAGCATGCCAGCAGTCCGCATTGGTTTAGCCTTCGAGCCTTCTGAGGTGGGGGTAGTGAGACGTCAGTTTATCGAGTTCCCCAATTTTTCAGACTCTTTTGCCGAAGATGAGTACAGCGGGCGAGTCTACTGATTTCAAGAGAGAGTTCGCCAGGAAAGTTGCTTTGAACCTCTTCCGGTGAGAAGGCACTTGGTCATGCTCAGAGCTTCATCCTATTTCGTTCCATGCAGGTACATTGAGTCGTTCAACACGAGCGGCGGCGGCGATGCTCGGTTTATGAGATGCCCTCAGGATTTGCTGGATAGATGGTTGCAGCGATTTGACGATAAATATAACAAAGACCCGATGTTTGTGTTCAAGACGACTTGAGTATAATATACACCTTTCACTGAGCTAAGCATTGCTTTGTGTCAATTGTGTGTATGTGGCGCTCTGTTGAGGTTGCCGGAAGAGCGAGCTTAAGCTGTGCAAGCACCTGTGCCCAATCGAGACTTGCTCATCCATCGATCTAACTTAATTCGTCGTCATTATTCTCACACTAGGTTGTGATATTCAACTGCTTGTGGAATACGGAATACCATGGTAAATTTAGAATCACTTAAATTCGATCAATCGATGTTTCCTGGCTGCGAACGCAGTTCCGAAGACGCCAAGTGTCTGCAGGAGAAATTAAATTTCTGAAATTTCGCGATACTTTCTCCATGAAACACAAAAGATTATCCAACAGTGACCCTATGAATAGGAGGGAAGTTGAGACGAACTTTTCTGCAGAGGCATGCGGAATGGAAACTTGGCGCTACTACTGAAGCTGCGATAGCTTGGAGCTAAGCAGGTGCCCACCAATTTGAAATACATCCGTAGCGATATCTTTCTCGGAACAAGATACCAAAATGAGTTCCATTCACAGCCTCAAGCTTAGAGAATCTAGCGCTGAGATAAAACAGTTGCTAGTGTGATTCTCACTTGTGAACACGTGTCTCGAGTTTGTGTGGAAAGATGATTCATAGGTCTGTCTTGCAGTTTTATCCTTTCAATGGTTTCGGATAAGCGCCACGCTTTAGTCATCGGAGGTGGCTTCTCCGGCATGTTCGCCGCCAACGAGCTCAGGGGTCGTTTCGATGTCACCCTTGTTGATGCCAAGGAGTACTTCGAGTATACTCCTGGTGTTCTCCGTGCTTATGTCAAGCCCGCTCATTACGACGCTCTGTCATTCACTTACCAGTCGGTTCTTGAGCGCACTATGGGCATTAAGTTCCTCTGGGGTGAGGTTACTGAGCTCGACGGTGAGAAGCAGATCGCTCATGTCAAGCCTATGTTCTCTGATCATACCGAGGAGGTCGCCTTTGACTACTGCGTCATCGCCGCCGGTTGCACTTTCGGTCTCTTCTCGAAGTGGGGTGAGTCTCTCTGGGCCCCTACTGTGAATGAGGGTGCTATTGCTGAGTCCGAGTGGAAGCATATCGATGAGCGTTTCATTGAGGGTCGCCGTCGTCATATCTTCGAGGAGCACGAGAAGCTTGCAGCCCTCAACAAGAAGAAGGCCAACGTCCTCGTCGTCGGTGCCGGTTTCATTGGTGTCGAGTGGGTCACTGAGCTTCAGCACTACTTCCCCAACCTCAAGCTCACCATCATGGACTTCCTTCCTAAGTGCCTTGGACCCCTCCCTCAGAACGCCGCTAGCTACTGCGACAAGTACATGAAGGAGCATGGAATCAAGTGCTACTATGGCATGAAGTATGCTCCTAAGGAGGAGGGCTTCTGGGAGAAGATCGGGCTCACTGGCGAGCCTGACTGCACTTTCGTGTGCATCGGCACTAAGGCTTCCAACTGGTTCATGCCCAAGGAGTGCTTGACTGGCTATAACCCCTTGGAGGAGGACAAGAAGGAGAAGGACCCCAAGAAGCGTGGCCCCGGTGGCGGAGGATGGATTCACGTCAACAAGCACTTGCAGGTCTACAAGGTCAACGAGGATGGTTCTCAATCCCTCTGGGGTAACGGTCACATCTTCGCCATTGGTGATTGCAACATGGTTCCTGAGCTTCCCCCGATCCCCAAGATCTCTTATCCTTCTGAGGAGCAAGCTGCTCATGCTACCAAGAACATCAAGATCTTGGACCACCTCGAGCATAAGGGTAAGTCCGTTGGCGGCTGCTGCGGTCTCGGTGGTGCCAAGGACCTCGTCACCACTTGGTGGCCTTGGGGTGCTGGTATGTTTGCTACTTCCCTCGGACCTAACAAGGCCTGCTTCGTTTTGGGTGCTAAGTCTGCTCCTGGCACTGGCCATATGGTCCTCTGGGGCAAACTCTCTGCCATCCAGAAGGGTCTCATCGAGTCCACTAAGGTTAACGAGAATAAGCGCGGCATCATCGGCAGTTGGGGTTGGCATTTCGTCCATCACACTCCTTTCATGAACTAGTCTTGTTGTTACTGTATTTTTTGCTGTGGATGTTTCCGTAGATGAGTTTTTTGCTCGAGCAATCCTCCTGTCTATCGGGACCAGTGTTGAGTTGTGTGTGGAGTTTTGTGAGTAAGGATCCTGCCCCGATCATGGGGAGGGGTGATATTTAATCTTTATGTAGTTGTGTACACAGGCGTGTCAGAAGCTCTCCCTGGCCTGATCCTACGCTGGATTACGCCAGAAGCAGTTCATCCCGGTTCTGACATCCTATCTCGGGTATGTCGAGTTCCGAGTCTCAAAAGAACATAGTAGAGATATCGCTCGACTGATAATGTACCTATGAGCGGCTCGTTCAAGGTCGCTGGTCCTCACTTTCCTAAATTCTGACCTAAGAACCCTTATCCAGGAGAGGGAAACTGACACCTGGTCGTGGAGGCAGATAGTTCGATGAGCATTCATGGATCAGTTTGCTCATCAATTACGGGGGTTGCATGTCAATATAGAGGATCGCGACGCGTGCACGACGTTCTCTCTGGATCCTCCGAAACCGGAGCACGAACGTCACACCAGTCTCGATACACCCCAGTGAGCAGCTTTTGTCCACAAAAGTCTATGGGAGATTACTCACAATCTAATCAGCCACGACTGCGTCGCCTCGTGGAGCCAAGAAGGCTGAATGTCTCTTTTTGTGTGCACCGTGCCCTATCCACGATGAGGAAACCTTGATCTTCCATCTCGAAATCATATTGTTTCGAAGAGTTAGAACACCGTTCGGCATTGTGGTGTTCCCCATAGAGAACTTCACTACAGGATTTCCATTGCCCCTCGAATACTCCCCTACACACGAGGTATAGAAGTTTCCTCGGGCACCAAGTGCGCCTACGCTCCCAAAAGAGGGACAAATTAGCTATGCAGCGCGCAGCTGTGCATGTGTGCAGACATCGCAAAGCTCTTCGGTCGCAACTGGTTGTGGATGTCTTACCGTGTTCGTTTAGGCTAAGTGATAGGACTTTCGAATGAATTCTTCATGTCTCCGTTCGTATTCATTATCTGTCGGTGTTTTTCGCGAAAGAGCAGCTGCCTGGGTGATTTGAAGAGAATTTCGTGCGGTTCAGTATTTGTTTGTCGCTGATGGTCTCTGACAAGCGCCGCGCCTTAGTCATCGGAGGTGGCTTCTCCGGCATGTTCGCCGCCAACGAGCTCAAGGGTCGTTTCGATGTCACCCTTGTTGATGCCAAGGAGTACTTCGAGTATACTCCCGGTGTTCTCCGTGCTTATGTCAAGCCCGGTCATTACGACGCTCTGTCATTCACTTACCAGTCGATTCTTGAGCGCACTATGGGCATTAAGTTCCTCTGGGGTGAGGTTACTGAGCTCGACGGTGAGAAGCAGATCGCTCATGTCAAGCCTATGTTCTCTGATCATACCGAGGAGGTCGCCTTCGACTACTGCGTCATCGCCGCCGGTTGCACTTTCGGTCTCTTCTCGAAGTGGGGTGAGTCTCTCTGGGCCCCTACTGTGAATGAGGGTGCCATTGCTGAGTCCGAGTGGAAGCATATCGATGAGCGTTTCATCGAGGGTCGCCGTCGTCATATCTTCGAGGAGCACGAGAAGCTTGCTGCCCTCAACAAGAAGAAGGCCAACGTCCTCGTCGTCGGTGCCGGTTTCATTGGTGTCGAGTGGGTCACTGAGCTTCAGCACTACTTCCCCAACCTCAAGCTCACCATCATGGATTTCCTTCCTAAGTGCCTTGGACCCCTCCCTCAGAACGCCGCAAGCTACTGCGACAAGTACATGAAGGAGCATGGAATCAAGTGCTACTACGGCATGAAGTATGCTCCTAAGGAGGAGGGCTTCTGGGAGAAGATCGGGCTCACTGGCGAGCCTGACTGCACTTTCGTGTGCATCGGCACAAAGGCTTCCAACTGGTTCATGCCCAAGGAGTGCTTGACTGGCTATAACCCCTTGGAGGAGGACAAGAAGGAGAAGGACCCCAAGAAGCGTGGCCCCGGTGGCGGAGGATGGATTCACGTCAACAAGCACTTGCAGGTCTACAAGGTCAACGAGGATGGTTCTCAATCCCTCTGGGGTAACGGTCACATCTTCGCCATTGGTGATTGCAACATGGTTCCTGAGCTTCCCCCGATCCCCAAGATCTCTTATCCTTCTGAGGAGCAAGCTGCTCATGCTACCAAGAACATCAAGATCTTGGACCACCTCGAGCATAAGGGTAAGTCCGTTGGCGGCTGCTGCGGTCTCGGTGGTGCCAAGGACCTCGTCACTACTTGGTGGCCTTGGGGTGCTGGTATGTTTGCTACTTCCCTCGGACCTAACAAGGCCTGCTTCGTTTTGGGTGCCAAGTCTGCTCCTGGCACCGGCCATATGGTCCTCTGGGGCAAACTCTCTGCCATCCAGAAGGGTCTCATTGAGTCCACTAAGGTTAACGAGAATAAGCGCGGCATCATCGGCAGTTGGGGCTGGCATTTCGTCCATCATACTCCTTTCATGAACTAATTCTAGTTCCTCGGAGTCCTCTTTTGGGATATTGTCCGTATGTGACTATCCTTGCTCGCATTTGTTATAAAATAACTGTTCCTTGTTTCGTGAGCAAAATTGATAGGTCGAGTTGCATGTAAAGTAGGGACTTGGTGGGTTAATTCTGTGTGTCAACTCGATATAAGTTGACATGCCACCAGTATCGAAGAGACAGATTGGGAGGGGGTACGTGGAGTTGAAAATAATAGGGGAGGTTCTACTGTCACGACTCGTCAACACGGGTTGATCCCAAAGGTGATGGCATGTCGGGTCTCGAGCGGCAGTATTGGTAAATAGAACTGGAAGCTAATACACGAGTCCTAAACCACAGATCCGATGGTCTACATGGCTTGTTCGGCTCATTGCGTGCTTATTCATGTATTCCTTTCGGGGGAGACTATGGGCGTATTAAGATCAGTTCGAACTTCGCGAGTCTCAGAGATAATGCTCGTGGCTCACACAGTGTCACACTGTGCGGAACCGGTCAAATTGACTGAGCTGCTCACTATAGCAGTGGAGACTCTAGCTTGAGTTACGTGCTGAACAACTTTGTGCCACACGGGACAATAAACTCCCTAGCAGCGTTCAGTGGAGAGTGCGCCGTCTTGCCAACTGTGGAATTCGCCACCACGTCATTAGTTGAGTATTAGATCAAGACTCATACTCAAAAAAAAGAGTGGCTGAAGAGTAGAGGGGATTGGTCTACATCGTAGTGCTTGTCAGTTGAGGAAGCTCCTCAACCAGCAAGTGCTCAGTCACTATAAGTACCACAGCTAGGCGGTATTATAGTGCCCCTCTATTCTAGCAAAAAATAAGTATATCACTATTGACATAGTTGGTACCACATACAGAGTATTACTCACATTAGCTTCACTAGCTTGGATTGTGCGACTTCTCGCAACACTTGGCTATTGTGTTGTTCGTTCTGCTGCTTGGCTCGTTTAAACGTCACTTCTGCTACGCAGAGTTCCACGTGATGAGTTAACCATTCTGGGTGTTGGACCAACTTTGTTGGTCCGCTTACACTACGCTCCCATGTTACACGTATGGCCCTACACTCCAGTTTCCTCTCAGCAGCTTTCTAGATCTATCAAGTACCCATCAAGCGTAACACTTCATAGGTCATTTATCACTGGATTACTTCGTGACAACATGATCTATACATCATAACATCTCGGAGGGAACGCGAGCTATAACCAAAGTCGAATACCGGGCATTATTCGGTAAACGCAATCATGTTATCATGTGGATAGTGTAATTGCCGCTGTACGCCACCAACCAGCTGCGAAGGATCGCGGTTGAAGTGAAAGTGGTCATTCTCTAGTATCCTCGGAGTCACTTGACTCAATTTACAGCAATTTACTCCCTTTGCGGACCTGCGTGTTCGTGAAACAGCAAACTTCTCCTCTCTAAAGTGGCAGATTTCTGAATCGTAGAAGGAGCAGTTTACTGATTTGCCCCTTCTTTGAGCAAAATTGCTCAATTTTGTTACATAGTAGCACTTCACATAGCGGCAACCTTTATATATTCTAGCAATTTTCTGAAATATAAACAAGCAAACGATATTCATTCGAGCAGTTTCTGTTATACAAAACGGCAAATTTGCGTATTTGTAAAGTGAATTTTGCTACTTTGCTGCTTTGTATATCAGCCATAGCGTTCTTATACACTAGCACTCCAGCAGAAGCCGCCGGAAATATACATTGCAGCTAATTGGCACTTTTTTGCTACTTGCTCCTTTGCTATTTTATAACCGAGCCCAGCCAAAGTCGCAGGAAATATGCATGCTAGCTGATTGGCCCTTTTTTGCTATTTGCTGCTTTGCTGTTCTATAACTGAGCCTGCTGATTCTGCCCATGCAACTCTACAAGAATTCCGAGAAATCCCAAGCTGGGTCTTCACAGCCCATCGTGGCTATCCAGCAGGTACCTTTCAAGCGAATACCGCATCATCGTTAGGAAAGCCGCACTCAGTGCAGGTCTTGGCCCCATCTGGCGGGGCTTGCCTATGAAAATAGCCGTGGGTGGGATAGAACCTGCGGCCCTACAATGCCACCCGTTTTGGACGAGATTCCTACCGACTGGAATCTAAGCAAGGAAGTCTCGAACTTGCTTATTCTGATGAGAATGATATTGAAGATTAACCGCTCAGTTGTACGAATTTGCTGCTCACTAAGCTCTTGATCGCACGGTTCTCTCTATACGCGATTGATGCCAACACTCCCTATGGTACGGGGCTCCGTTTAAAGCTATACCATTGGGAGTGATCACATAGACGGCTTCATCGGATAAACTTCCCGTGATAAACGGCACCATAATACGGAATGTCTTCGGGAAGATCAAAAACAACAAAATACCAATCAGGCATGTTCCTATTGGAGGGCAAGGCGTGAATCTGTGCTGGGCAAGCCCTCGGCACCAATGAGGAAGTCATCCATGATTGCCACCATCGATGACATACTCTTTGATGACCTGAAACAAATGAGTTAACCGTGACACCGCCTATCGATTCTCAGACGTGAGTTTAAAACACCAAGTCTAGAGCACTATACCAACCAACGGCTCGAATATGCTGCTGCTAAATCGGAGTGTTGGTAAATGTTTGTACTTGAAGAACTATCTCTTTTGGCAGATACCCCTTTCTCTTTCAGATTGACTTGAGCCATCTTTTCCTCCCTTTTTCGAACTTCCGAACAAACCATCAAAATTATACGAAACGTTCGATTTTTGGTAGAGACAGTGAGAGACCTCCTCATTAGCGCACTGGACATTCCTGATTATCCTTATTCTTCTGGTGATGAGCTTGCAGCCGCTCTGTCCGCCAGCTCGGTCTGACGCTCTGCCTCGCGACACTTGAGGGGGACGTAGTCCTTCATGTCCTCTTCCTCAACGAGGTCACCAACATCCAACTGCAGTATATCACAACTGACAACGAACGAGTAACACATGACAGTCTTTTAAGGACACCCCCCTCACTGTTTCGAGCTGAGTAGATCGGCCATGGACGGTCTGGTCCGACCGAAATCGCCATGGACGAACTCTTTGATGTACATTCCGGCACTGCATGCAAGGGACACCTGGCACGACCAAGCTAAAACTCATGCCCACTCCTCCGCGCGAGGACCTTGAGATAATGAGGGTTCACCATCTCGCAGGTTATGCTGTGCATCATTTTCCTTCGCATGGCGTTGGCTCGTCGATGCATAACTCGAAGGGGAGTCCGCTGCTGTATTTCGACTTCCTTCATGGCGTTCACGCGAGCCACCACCTCCGCTGTGACCGGGTCTTCGCTCCACACCATGCATACGTACCTGAGGAAGAACCAGCATGCAAATCTCAAACCATCCCTAGCCCTACAGTTTAGTGTGGCGCTCACTAGACCAGCCCAACCACTCCATCACATGCTTGTCCGCCGGATGGATGAACATAACCTCAAAGGCGTCCGTCTTGGCCGCAAGGGCATCCCATGACACCTTGTGGTGCGGCAAGAGCAGATTCCTATGGGCCTCAGGGATCTGCCCAACAGTCCTGCTATACCCTTGACAATAGATAGCAACGACTCACCTCCACAGCGAATGGGCGACCATTACCGAGCATACGTACATCGACATCCTCACGACCAGCACTGCAGAAACTACAGCGTGTCCAGTCCGCTCCAAGGGCCTCGCAGATCGGCTCTGATGAATAACCCGGTCAGTATTAACTCGAAAGCGAGTTCGCTCACTCAGCGCAATCTCCGAGGCAGAGGTCTCACACCGACTACGGGGTTTGCTTCCATCATGGACCAGCCAGGGGGTCTGGGAGATCTTCCGACTGAACTTCCTATACCTCCCAAAGAGATATATGCTATCACGACTGATCACTGCCTCCAGCGTTGGTCTGAACTCATCTGTCGTGTTGGGGTATGCCCTCATGCACTGGGCAAGGTCATCAACACCTGCCATCCAGTGACCATCCCCAACCTTATCAGAGATCGCATCACCACCTAGTAGAGTCTCCAGCCTGTCGGAACTCTGCCCTTTCATCGCCTTAATGATGGTATTGGTTGATGGCAACTCTTCGGAGCTTTCAGGGGAGGACTCCTCATTGGTAGGCTGACCATCACACTTCAGTGGTGACCTTACACCCCCACACTCACGTCGCTAGAGGACCCTCGCCTGTCCTTGTCTCTGCGCCACCTTCCCTTACCCTTCCCTCCCTTCCGAGCAAATTTCCTATCGTCCTTCCAACCTGAAACAGGAAGCTCATGAGACTCCTTGAGCGCGACAAGAGGCCTCTACGCGATGGCGGCTTGATGCGTTGTTCACTGGCCAACACTGAGCACTCCAACTGGTCAGCAGCCGGAGAATTCACCTGAGTACTCATGAAGAGGAGAGGAGGAGGTAGATACACTGTCACTACCTCTAGAGTTACCCTGAAGAAAGCTTCCGCCACTGGGCCTGACCCTGCAAGAGTTTCCTCCGTCAGGCCAGGGGTCATAGCCCGCATCTTGCGATGAAGCTCAGGCAAGAGCACCCATCGGAGGACCTCTCGAACCTCTGGTACCTAACAACCCATCATCATGTGAGCTCACAACAACAGAAAAGAGAATTCCACTATACTGCATGTCATTCAGTGTAGTCTGAATAGCCACTCGACATACTCTTGCTACAAAGGGTCTGCAGCCCAGAAGGTACTACTCCCACAGGGTCGGGTATCGCTTGGCCGAGTATAGACGGCATCCATGCACTACGGATGATAAGAGACGAGACCCCAATGACTACTGACCTCATCGACTTCCCCTCGCTCGTAGAGGACCTTCTCGATGAATCCTCGGACGACCAGAGCAGGTGATAAACGAGTTGAGAGGACAAGATCGTAGGTATCCTCAAACCTAGATACGGAATAGGTCCGTTGGCAGACCACATGTGACGTACCCTGATGCATCGATCGCCGCAACAATCTCTTCCATCACCCGATTCTCGTGCCCAGAGACCCAGGGATCCTCTAGTAGACCAAAACAGCCTCCACACAGATATTCCGGCTCGGATCTGATAGCGCAAAGACGAGCAGATCACTCTCGTGTTTGCGATAAAGACCCAATAATGATTTCCTAGGTGTAATATACCTCTAACATGATGCGCTAACTTTCACCAACTTACCATTCGATCGAACCACCTAAATTTCCCTAGTCCCCCGCGGTACTACCGACACTCCTCCTCTGAGGGTGGGCCCACCCAGTCCGCAGCCTTGTATTGCTCTGGGTCCTTCACACCTTTGTATCGCAGCTGACACCGCCAGCACAAGTATTCTGCCAGCTCAGGCTTAGGGACATTGAGAGGAGCAGTCATGACAGATGAATCCCACTAGGGAAGAAAACCCGTCCACACCCCCAACTCGACGAGATCGCTAGAGTGGATAATAGTTGGTACTGGGATGACCCCGACGAAGGACCAGTCAGACAAGCGATGCATAATGCAAAAAGTGGCCGCAAGAAACGACAATAACACGACTAGACGTAAAGTTGGAAGCCATCAACATACTGTTGTAGATCGGTCCTTCCAAATTGTATTTCTCGAGGAAAGCATCAGGAGCATGTCGCCTGATATTCCTTCAGAGCTCTCGTTTGCTGAGGTCAGCGTATTCAGGACCGCACTCC